AATCCTATGCTTAAAATGTATTTTCTTGTGGCCGCCTGACAGCAACCTGTAAATCTGGCGCGACAGTGAACGTGTTAATAAGTAAATGTTGTTCAAATTATATCGTGTTTGATATCATTTTCATCAGAAAAATCTCACCAACATGTTGAAAAAAATTCCAGATGAAAAAAAGTAAAGTTAAAGAAATTATATTTTTCGATTTTGATGTGTCGAGCCGTGTAATCTCGTAAAGGAAACCGACTGGTGTAGCGTTACACGCTTGACTGACTGCAAGCGAGATAACATGGGCGCAGCAATGAGGCAGACCTAGGCGTAGGACCATCTATACTGTCACTTGTAGAAACCAAACTTACTGACTCTTGTAGAGAATTTACTGTACTACATACAAAACTGAATTAAGAATTAAGTTTGTCAATATCTCGTTTCGCCTTTTGTGTTCTCAAAAATAGTTTTCTTCGGTGAGAACGTAGAGAATACGTATATTATTTCTGTCTGATTATATACAATATTTACGTTGCGTAGCATTTTGTATGAACAATATCCTTTCTAGAAATACAAAATACAAACATATTACAACGCATTGCGTACGGCTAAGAAATATCCTCTGCTTTTCTTTCTTTTTTCTTTTATTTGTTTTTCGTTACTTTTGTAACAATTGACATGATAATACAGCTTCTTTGCAGAAAAAAGAAAAGAAGAAAAAATGATCCAAGTGAATGCATGTTTAAGTGCAAGAGGGAAAAGCAACGAAGTTGTTGATCGATGTATAGAGTAGCGGACAAAAGATTAAGGCCAGAGTAGATAGAGAAATAAATTATTCAGTTTATTTTGTAGTAATTAATGAATGTCTGTGTATTTATGGGAAAAAATGGTACAATGTTTCTGAGTATACTGAATGAAATATTCAAGATAAAAGTAACTTTTTATTATATTGTTGTGGATAGAAGTTTAAGATTATACGCAAAACGAGACTTTGCTATTGTAAAAGAAGTATAACACCTGTTTTAAATTAATGTTTCGTCCAGAATCCTCTGCTTTTTATCACATTTTTTGCGTGTACCTACAGTGTGTCCAAGCATAAAGGAACACCTAAATATCTCCTCTGTTTTTAATGATACGAAATATGTTTAAAGCACATTTTGAATGGTTTCGGAACTGTATAATTTAAATGACAGTTCTTCGTTTTAAACTTATGGTCGCTACTGTATATAAATTATGAAAGAAGTCAGCTTCGTCGTATATTTTTCTTGTTCAGTTTGCGTTATAATTTAAATCTCATTATTCCTCCATTTCTAAATAAATAATCTTTACATTGGTAAAGTGAAATAAGGGAAAACTTCTTTCTATAGGTACGAATATTTACCACAAACGTACGTAATTAATGCGTTTTTATTTGAGAAGTAGAAATAAAATAAAACTGTTCAAACAACATCGTTGGTAATTAGTCGTAAAAATATTTTTTTAAATTTGGTAAAATATTTAACACTAGCAGATCAATTATGCTAATTGTTACAGGTGGTTTGCAATAAAACTGTAAAAGTTTGAAATGCATTCCTCCACAGCTGTATCCTGTTTTGTGCGTGCATATGACAGAATTTGGCAAAGTTGCAAATATGTATGCACCAATGTAAAAATTCGTGATACATTTATCTCGAAAAATTTCTCGAGTATCTACACAAAGGAGAAAAGAACAATACATTTCTTCGATTCTAAGCTATCTCTAAACGAAAGGAATACAAGTCCTTTTAACATAGAATGCCTGTACGCAACGTGTTAGTATTCCGCCGTAAGTTCTCTATAAAACTAGCTCCATCCATGCATGAAAAACGAAAAGAAAAGAAAGCAAAAGTAAAGAAAAGCAGTACGAAGGAAAAAAGAAAGAAACGACATTTACTTTATTGTGCACGATCTGCATAGAATCTTCTAAGAAAGAATCTCTCCTCCTTTCTATTCCATCTCTAGAATTTCCAATTTTAGCTGCCCTTGCAAGCGAAGGAATCATTCTTCAGATTCACTTTTCAATAGAGATTAACTCGCGACCGACAATGGGCGTTGCGTAAGTTTGCCGGAAGAATGCTTACTTCGAGCATGGAAGATTGCAGAAAGAAAGAAAGAAAGAACAGATACGAGTTCAATGTCACGCGTGTGCAGAACTGGAAAAAATACTAGCGGAAGAGATGCGGGTCTGATTGGTCATAGAATAATAAGACCACCTTCTCTGACACAATCGTAAAGACAGGGCAGACGTATTCTTCTTATTGACCAAAATGGTCACATCTATTTACAGGTACGAATACTGTGTAAATCTCAGGAGTTTGCCTCTGGAAGATTCATATTCCCATAATTCTCTAACACAATCATAAAAATAGGGCATACGTATTGTTATTATTGGTCGACGTGAAAACACCGACGAATCGGATATAAAATTGTGTGACTTCAGTCAGGCGGGGCAAACAAAGTGCCCTTGTTGCCCTCGGTTGCTCTTATTGCTCCGAGTAGCCCTTGTTGCCCTCAATTGCCCGTGCGCCGCCCCGAGGACAAGTTCCTGAGCACCACACGGTAGGACCATATATCATCGCGTAACGAAGAAAACAAATAAATCACATCGAGTTCAAATCAATAGCGTACTCGCTGTTCCGTATATCCTCGGTAGGTCCTAGAACGTATCTCCCTCGAATACGGGGATTCCCTGCTATTCAGCGTGCGTAAAAACCTTAAGGTGGCTGCTTCAAGAGAGTCACAAACGGAGTTAAGCGATGTGAGCAGAGTACTCTTGCCCCTGTGTCATCCCGCTAGCATTCTTTCCAGCTCTGCATAGAGTACATTGTCTAACAACAGTTGAACATTGTCTAACTGCGTGGTGTGTTGCCCGATGCTTCTTCTTATAGCCAACTTCGTCGACACTGAGCGGTCTACGACGGTGTCGAGCACTGTACGATTGCGAGGCTGACAATGAGGACGAACTATCGTTCCGGGAGGGTGAAGTGATCATCGTCACGAACGAACAGACAGACGATGATAACTGGATGGAGGGAGCGTTAGAACGAGCACCAGACAGGAGAGGGATGTTCCCGATCAGTTTCGTGCACATGTTGCAAGATTAACATTCGGTAAGCCTGAACTCGTTAGCAAGCGTTTCCAGTACTGCCAGCTCTGTCAGCGTTGCTAGCCTCGGCAGAAAGTGTTGGATCAGGAGATCCAAGGATTGAAGATCAACGATCGAGGATTAACCGTTCGTTTCTCTTGGTACTTTCTCTCTATCTATCTCTATCTCTCTATCTCTCTGCTTCAATAGGACACCTGTCGGCCTTGAACTTTTTTGTTTGTTTTTTACCTAAGCCTTTTTCGTCCATCGAGTTGAGAATTTGAAGAAATTCAGCTCGTCCGGACACGTCGCGTTTCTGCTTCGCCTTTGAGAGCAAGGACTGAAGCGCGGAGTTGTTGAGAATAGTTCCTTGTGTTACGAATGACAATCATCTTGAGACAGCTTTGTAGAAACGTGTTGAAATTGTAGAGTTGAAACATGGAAATAGTATTTGAAATTCTTCACTTCTCGGACATAAAATTAATTAATTACCGCGCCACCAGAGTATCCACTCTGTTGTGTGTTCTTCTTCTCTAACATATTCTGCGTGACGCGGGAAAATTTCGAAACAAAGTTAACAAATCACGTTGGAATATTTCATTTTCATATTTCGATCTTGCGTTGCACTTGATACTTTACTTGTTTGTACAAGTTTTTCGAAACTTTGCAGGCTTGTAGGAGATCTCGATAAAAGTATCAATGTCTTTTTGCTACTTTTTCATTCTTCAGAGTGAAAACAACACTTCTATCGAGGTCCCCTAAAAACTTGCAAAGTTTAAAAAAGAATCAAATTTTTCGGGTTATCAAAGTTACCTTGCGATTCCAAGGATATCTTTTCTCGTCTAATAAAAGTTCCACAATCTGGAAATTATCGTGTATTCGTGGTAGAAGTACGTACAAAAAAAAAAAGAAAACAAATAGGTCCGCAGAGGGAAATTTATTTTGATGAAATTATAGTCGCGATATTTCGTGTCTCGATACTTACATACTTATCAAGTATAAGAGTCAGGTACTCAAACGCGAAGAAGAAAGTGCGCCTTTTAAAATCGAACGATCTTAACATACATAGATTAAAGAAAAGAAAAGAAAGAAAGTACGTTCAATTCCAGTGGAGCGGAAAAATGAAACAGGTGAAAAAGAAATCAGTCGGTTTGAATTAGGGGAGTGTCGAAATTTGAAGACTGGATCGATTCGCGGCTCTCAAGGTCGATGGTAGCAGAAAATGAATAAAAATGTGATATAACATATATTTCAGCATAAATTATTAGTATGAATCGAGAGTTTCATAAAGAAACGATGCGTACTTCTGGTAGTAATCAAGCAGTCGATGCGATCGGGACAAGTCCAGCGTTTAACTTACGAAAATTCGTGTTTTTGACCGAGTTTTAGCGCTCGTTAAACGAATAAAGCAGATACCGACTTAATTCTGCTTTTATTTCTCTGCGATTCTACTACGTAGAATAGCCGAATTTTTCAGTCGAGAGTAAGAAAGAATCATATATATATATATGTTCAGTAAATGTACGCAAATTTTCTTATGCACGGACAAACCGAGGAAAGAAAAGGTAAACGTATGTGTGTGTGTGTACATGCTGGCGTGCATGTGTTATATGCGTGTAATAATCATAGGATGAACGAGAGAAGAAAGGACGGAATAGAAGATTCGATATCTAATTTATCACATGCCTTAAATATCTGGCGCACACTTCCTTTCCGTACTGCCAATGCTAAGTGTATTCTATATTACGACCGCATTTCAAAAGAAATATGAAAGAAAGAAAGAAAGCGAAACGCTGGAAAACGAGTGGGAGAATCCCGTGAAAAAATCATTTTTCACGGCAGGGGTAAAAGAGATGCAACGAGAAATGCATCGACCACTGTGTGAAGAATTGAAATGAAAGAATAGAAATGTAAAACGTTCAATGGAAGTCCTTATTTCCGTGAGGATATAAAAGAAGAAAAAAATAATGGGACATTAAAATTTTTAAAGATATTGCATGACACCGATAGTATTATTAGCGTATTCGGCTCTTAACACGTTCCCTGCCCATGTATATGTATTTTCGTTGTCTTTCCGTTCAGGCCGTGTAGCTCGTGTGTAACTCACGTTGATAAAACTGACAATTTTTATCTTCTTTGTAAAATGTACTTTGTGACGTCTTTGGGCGTTTGAATTTAGTAGTACTTGCGATTTTCTGCTTCCATATATTTGAGTGTTTCAATCGACGTTCACTAGATGTCTCACTGACTCGCTTCTTTTGCGCATGCGCGTACTCTTATCCTCATATCTGTACATGTAAATTTGGGACTCCCAAGCGTCTGGCCAGGGGTCTTCTTTACAAGACTTTCTTTTTTATCTCCCTCGGGAAGGAGACGGTATAGTGTGGGATTCCTACCCATTAAAATCCCCGTGGCTCTCTGGGAAGCCCCTAGGTACCTTTCCAGATGCTTCCGAAAGGAACTCAAATTGGCCTCTTCCATAATAACTTCTAAAATTCCATCCAGGTACCGCGTGCAATGATGGCTAGATTTGAAATCCTGAGTGTGACCAAATAGAATAGAGTTGATTCGCATCAATGTGTGGACAACTGAACGTTGCTGTTTTGATGTTGTGCTGTTAGGTTAGCCTTTAATATGTCGATGTTGGTCTGATACTGTGCTATTAGGTGGACTTGAGAACTGGAACGTGACATTAATTTCTTTTTTATGTCTACATGTTTTATTATTATTTCCATCGATTAGTTAATGACCATAACTCCAATCCTGGATCTTGGGGCGCTGTCTTTCTATTGGGATTTCCCACTAATGTGTAATCGTGTCTGTGGTCATTTTAGCGTCCATTTTCCAGCAAATCTCGGTGCTGGAATCGAAGTGTCTTGAGATGTTTAAGATTTGTAAAGTTGCATAGAAACAAAGACAGGAACGAGCACTTACGGGAAGGAGACTTGTCGGTGTGATATTTACTGGCCGCTTAACCTAACCTCTCAAATGTATAAAATTGAAGAGTCGCAAGTGCTACTGAGCCCAAAGCACCTGAACGCGTCACAATTGATAAAACTGTAAATTCATTATTATTAGAAAGATAAACGGTGTAATATGTAAAATACACTAGAAAAGAAAACAAAACCTTTCGTTTTGTAACAAATTATCGTCGTTTTTTATACGGTTGAAGTGTGAAAACACGAGAATATCGTACGACCTGAACGGGAAAATTTATGCACCAGAGAACGTGTTAAGAATCACGTGGTTGCAAGAGCGTATGTACATTTTTGTAATGCCATATTATTTGTTAGTAAATATACATAATTACATAATAAACACACACACACACACACACGTACCCATATACATACAGACAGACAGACATTGTGAAATATAATTATAATGTTAGAGATTTATTAGTCATTAAGAAAAGTATAGGTATAAAAGGTAAAAAAAAATAAAATAACAAAGATATGCGTGTGTTATAACTCAATCGAGATTTATACGCTAGAAGTAAATCGAAAGTTTATTTGTTACTTTACTTGAAAACACATACTTACACACATACACACGAAACCAAAGAGAAAGTTTTCGCGAAACATGAGGAGATACGAGAATGGCCGTTTAGCTCAATCGATGTAAAACGGAACTGTAATTTTTTTCTAGGTGATTACAAATTTTTACCATTCGCTTTAGTTTTAACGCTTTAATTGTGTGCTCGCCGGTTCGTTCGTTTCGTCTCGCCTCTCACCATTTTTTCTTTTATATTTGAATCATTTTTTTGCCGCGAAAGAAACATCACCTAATAAATTTACGCGTATATGCTGTTTACATCTGTATTATGCGAAGTATGCGCTGTTTTTACGCGTTTTAGATTTGTATCGTTCGATAGATCGATTCAGATGCACGAGGATGACGCGGAAGAACCGCGAAATATGAAATAAAACAACGGTCCATCATGGACCGTGTGTATGCTGCCTAGTCGAAATCGGTATAGAATTGTAAACATTTTTTTGTCTTTTTGTTTCTCTTTCATCGATACTGTTTTTGAGGCTCTACTATTAAAATGAAACTGGAGCTCGAATTTTCCTGCATTCTCGATACTTAATATATTTATACGATAAGAAGGCACATTTCAATTAAACATATGCGTGCAATTATTTCTCAAATTACTGCTGAAAGTACAGGATAAATTGATTGAAACATTTTATATCAGATATAAAAAATTCTTTCAATTCGAAAAATATTGTTCATTATTGGAACAAATTAAAACTCGAGCATTGATGAAATTTCAATTGAAAGCAACGCGTAAAAAAGAATAAACGTTAAAGAGGAAAATTGTAAAAATTTTGTGAACGATAATCACGACAAAATATTCTTTCAAACAATGAGAATTAACTCGTTGGGTACCACAGAACTGTATATACGTGACTGAATGGTATTTAGCACCGTAATCAATATTTCGCTGTTTCGTACTATGCAATTCATTGAATCTATGTTAATGTAAAATAATATAAGTAATAACTGATTAAATTAAGTATTCTTATTTATTTACATATAATAAATAATAGTTCTAACTATATAACACAAGCATAAACAAAAAAAAACAATGCCACTTTAGTGGTGCTTGGACCCAGGGAATGATTTAAACGAAAGCCACTATATCATGTGGTACCCAAAAGGTTAAAAACTCGTTTTATTCTCTGCTATTATAAATTGAACAAAAAAAGTAATAGTAGAGCACTCAAACGGATATTATTTCTTACGTGTAATTACGTAACCTAGGTTTGCAAAGTTTTTTAGCTTTACTCGAACAAAACTTCTATTACGTATAGAATTAATAATCCGTTCACTATATCATTAGTATGAAGGTATTACGCGCGCGAAGATGATTAAAACGTTTTTCATAAATCCGTAAAATTCTAACCTTCTTTTTTCGCATTCCTCTCAAATTTTTTCCTTTCCCCAACCCATTATGTATGTTTATTTAACGAAATTAATCATAATAAACGATAAAAAATATATACTTTTCACTTGGAAAAAATCTGGCGAAGCATTCTGTACAACTTGTCAAATTGCGAATGACTAAAGATGATATTTGTTGAATAAAAATGAATAATGTACCGATTTATAGCTTGAACGGTCGTGATTCGTTGTTTGTAT